AAAAAAAAAAAAAAACATAAATATATATAAGAAAAGTTAAATACTTTTTTTTTTATCAAACTGTTTGGTAAAAAAAAGGGGATGCAAATTTTCTTATAAATATTCTTCTTGAAGTGAAACCACCTTAAATTACAATTTATATATATATCTATATAATTAATCTTTATTAGGATTTAAATATCTTTCATTTCATTCTCAAAAACTAGTACTAAATCTTGGTCTCAAAATGAAACTGTATCTTTAAATCTGTCCTTATTGCTATATTTAACATGCCAACCTAATACAGAGTCTTTACGACAATTCTAATTTCATAATTTTATCACTTACCTTTTTCCTCTGGAATATGCTGCTCACATATTACTATGGCCGTCTGAGTTCCTGTGCATGGATGACGAGCTGGACTAGTTTCCACACCTATTGTTATTGTTGGATGTTTATGTTGAGTACTTGAATATCCATCTTTCTTACGCTGTCTCTTGGCATACAAGGATTCTTTTTCAGTTTTTTTCAGTTTCTCCTTTAGATAGGCAACTTCATGCTTTATGAGAGAAAATATAAAAAATAACTATAACCTTCAGAAAGATTGGTAAAATGGTAAGAAATTAATGTTTGTAACTGAAGAGAGGAATAGCTATTGACCTGTCTTTTCCATTAAACTACAACATAAATATAAATGGCCTGTAAAAAATATGACTGATAAGCCCCTGAAAGGTATGATATTTTCTTTAAAACTTATTTAGCCAGTGACCTGCGTGTGTTAAGATGGTTCTAACTTTACAGCATTTTCATAAGCATAAAAAGCATATGCTTGGTTGGAAGAGGTTATCTAATGTAAGCTTTCATCGAAGTGTAAAGATTTTAACTGTAGCCAATTTTGCCCTATGACAACAATGACAAATGTATCCCGTAAAACAGAAATGGTGGTAACTATGGACATGAACATGTACAATAATGTATTTGATCGGTGAAGTAATTGACCTACAACCATCCACATGGAGCTTATCAGTTTGTATAAGAATTTTATTTTTGTGTGTATGTATATAAATATATATTTGTGCATGAGAATATTAATCAAGCTAATGCTATATAATGAGGGCAAGAGGTGTGGAATAAGGGGTAGAGCACAGACATTAACAATCATGGTTCACACACACTGGAGTTGTTGAATTGTTTCAAATATTAGAAAATAGTGCAAATAAAGAGTTCAGAGTAATGACTACAGCAAATATAGAAAGTCGTAGTGGAAAGAATAAATGAAAACTATATTTTGGTATTGCATAGTGTGATGTCACAAAAACTAATTGTTGTTGGGAAGGGTATGTAACAGCCTTTTCCAACACAAAATATTCATACATTCAGATCATAAAAATTTGTTTAGATTAGGTATTTAGAATTTTCAAGATGAGAGTAACCCTTGTATATTTAATAGCACTGGAAAACAAAGGTATATGGATCAACTTGGGCCACCAGGACCATCCAGAAAGAGACTTGCAAAAAACTGTACTTCAGATGTGGTAAGCAAAGTGCATCATCTTGTAATGTGTGAGAATCCATGAATACAAAAGTCAGCGTCAAATGTTGCCCATATGCCCCAAGCAACAGTACACAACTTATTCAAGAAGGATCTCTGTCTAGAAAAGCTATTCAAGCTATGTGTCCACAATTTGCTTTCTCAACATATCCGTTCAACCATTGCATACATTCAGCAGCTGGATAATGAAACAGATATTCATCTTATTCCATATGAAGGCATACTGATCAAGTCTTCAGACACAGCACCTATAGATTTCTGTGCAATAAGACAGTTGAAACAAACACTAGGAAACTATCATCTTCATACAACAGAAATACTATTGAAACTCTGCAGAGAGGAGTGGTGTACTTTGGACATGATAGCCTTACAAAACAGTCTTTTGCAAAGGCAATGCCACAAGGCTACTGTCAACATGCATGGTCATCAAAAATTTTGTAATAGGAGCTTATACGATGTAGTCAAATCCTAAATTAAAGTTAACACCAGAAGTACAGTTACCAGAAGCAACATTTGAGAGTTCAATGGGGATGGAAGGGAAACTTGATGCTATTGGGTTTTTTAAAGATTAGAAAATAAAAATCAGATGGTTTTGGAAGCATTTGCTCTAATTATTCCCTGTGTTATTTAATAACCATTCAAATAATGCAAACTACACGTTTTACATATATATATATATGTTCTCCAAATTAATAAGTGGTTTGAATCACAAGATGGGGAGCTGCCCCCTAAATGACAGCCCTAGTTCATACTGACACCTGAGATGCAGAGTAGAGCTCTTGTCATCATTATTTTTTCTAACAAGTTCAAAACTGTTTTCAGTTTATAAAGGTAATTTTAACATTATACAAACAAAAACTGAACAATCTGTTCTATAAAACTGTCTTAAAAAGAATTAAAAACAGTGATATATTGGTGTCTTTACAGTCACCATCTTATTTTCTCACTAGTAAACACTGATTTGTATAGTATTCTGGTTTTTTCTCTCTGTAATTTCCTCTATATAAGTATGTGAAATTTTGAAGCAGAGATATTAATTAACCTAATTTGAATTCTAATTCATAAAAATGCAAACGTGTTTAACATTGCCATAGTAGACAAAACAGAGATTATTTTATTTATGATAAAAATGGCTATTAAATGAGATTTTAAAACATAACATCCAATTTTAATATACATGCCTTTTTTTTCCCAATAGCACTCTATACTAAATATCATATGCTTTGTGACAAATATATCAATTAAAACATATATACATAAATACAATTCTATACAATAATTCTATTGAATCATGAAGGGAAACTAACATCTTGAAAAAAATAAAAATTTCCTTCTAATATAGAAAAAAAATATTACAAAGGTATTAATTAATCATGTTTATTAAAATAAAAACAATTTTCTATCAAAAATTGTAACTTATATTTTTTTTTATTAAAGATACGTCATTAACATATCTTTTTGTATTTATAAATACATTATCTTTAATATCTTTCATCTCAGCTTACCTCAAGATCTTCGACCTTCAAGATCAGTATGTCCACTTTATGCTCAGCTTGTATTTTCTCTCTCTCACAAATAGACAGAAAATGACCCATCTCTAGTCTGGTGTTATCTATGACACCTAAATCAAGAATGGGTGATTATTCAATATGGTTTTGTTTTTCTTTCAATAGTGCTGGAAAAAAAGATTTAAACATGTTAATTAATTTCACTTTACATGGCTGTATATGATACAAAATCCTCAACACATGGACACCAAGTGCCATTGAAGTATACTCTGAAACAATTTTCAATAACTTTTTTTGCACAAATTTTAGAACTGACACATTGAATTACAAATTCAATCAGTAAACTGAATCAACAGAACATTTCCAATAAATATTCTTTTAAGTGGCAACAAAATGGTGGATGTCCTGAAATACTATAAAGCACATGTTCCTTACTTTGAGCAAGTATGTTAACTTGTTTTAAAAAAAAGGATCTTTAATCATATTTAAAGGACTGAGAAACACAATGCACATACATATGTGAAATCTAATTTTAACTGAAAATTTGAATGATAATTACAATGTAGAAGGACACAAAGTATCAATCACAATTCATACATATACACATTCTAACCACACTGTCTCTTTATCTTCAAGAAGAAAGTAGCAATAATTTATTTTTTAAGCTATAAAAAAATATCGAGCTAAATGTTTCATTTTCTCAAATGAACAGAAGAAATATATTTGTCATGCTCAAATTATTATTAAAATGTAATTACCTGTAACTTAACCTCTTTTAATTAAAAAAAACAGACAAATCATTACTAAAGTCTAACTACCTGCAACTTAACCTCTTTTAATTAAAAAAAACAGACAAATCATTACTAAAATCTAACTACCTGTAACTTAATCTCTTTTAATTTAAAAAAGCAAATCATCACTAAAGTGTGACTACCTATAATTTTACCTCTTTTAATGTCCAAATAGACAATTAATAAAAACAAAGTTCTCACACATAAGCAAAAGAATAGGTATTTAAAATACAGAAGATACAAAATTTTACCCACATTCTTTTTATGCCATACATATATGCAAAAACAAAAAGTAACAGATGTTTTCAAAAGTTACAAAAAATAGAATCAAAAGGTAAGAAGTCCAAGTTTCTAGTTATGTCTTGAAAGCACTCTTTGAGAGGCCCAAGCTCTTTTATTAAGTCTTAAAAGTACAATACATTTACTTACTTTGAAGGATTCTTTTAATCCTCCATAATCGAAGAAGAATTATCAGTACTGCTGCCTCTTTTCCAGCTCCTTTTTTAGAGGGTGTTGTTAAAAATGCAATGTCAAGTCCAAATGCCACAAGAACAACAATAGCATCACATATCTAAAGCCAAAAGAAAAGATAATGCAAGATATTAAAAAAATACTGAGAACTAGGATATTGTTAATTCATAACAAACATAAAACAAAGTTCTACCTCTAACTTATCACTTATTATATTCTAGCAATATATGTACCCAAGAATTATCACTTATAAATTACACCAAGAGCTGCAAGATGTTCTAGGCCGATACAGAAATAAACTCACCACCAAACTTTGAAAACAATTGCAAAAAAATATAAACTAATTATAACTGGGACATTAATGGGTCTAAAAGTCATTAAATTTTTTGAATGAAAATCAGCAAACCTAACAACTTAGTTAAATATGGCTATAAGGTTTCCCAAAACTGTTACAAGGAATTGAACTGAACAGGCAAAAAAATGACCAAAAATTATGAAACTGTAGATTTTGAATTCAATCTTAACAACTAAATTCAGCAAATAAAAACAAAATACATATGATTTTTGGGCTCTGTAAGCCCAGAAATATGAGGAGTGTTTCACTTACATAAAAAAATCCACAAACCAAAAATTAAAAGTCCATGTAATGATGTTAGAATTTGGCAAAATACAAGATTAGTGTTAGAAAGTAAGAGTTCTGGAGTAACCACATTACAACTGTTTTCCATACATGGAATTTATTAATCTAGAAAATACTCATGCTATGACACAGCTCTCATTATTATGTATTATCCAGTAGAGATGGGCAGTTAGTGGTATTTGTTAATCAGTTAATCAAAGGCCTCATTGATCAGTTATACAGTGTGTTCCCAGCCATGTTATGTACAAACAAGAAATAAGAAATATATACAAGTAAAACAGCAGTGGGTGTTGCCACAGTTTGCCTTCTTTCTAGTCAGCAGTTTAGCATTAGTGAGAGTGGCATATAGCCTCAGACAAGGTGAGTAACTTTGGTGGAAATATTTTTATTACTTGGATAGTTGAAATACTTGGATAGTTGAAATAAACAAAAATAGCAATAATAAGAAACCGTAGTTACAATTAATTGATTTAATCATAATATCAATTGATTAATTAGTTTACATGACACTAAATGATGTAATCAATGCTCAAAGGTAATTGAATATATTAAATCACCTCGCTTTATTGCCCAATGTTGGTTTTTTTTATTTCAAATACCTGAAAATAAACATTATTCTCAAACTAACATTTCACATGGATATTTGTTGTTGTTTTTTAACAGCAATACAAATATCAAAAATCAACCAATATTTAATTAACAGAATACAGATAATTTACCTCCATTCCTTGAATAAGGTATCTTGCTCTTCCTGAAACTAATCTAAAGCCAACCTGTGAAAAATGATTATATAAAATTGTTTGATTTAAGTGAAAGAAGTGGTTGTTATCTAATTATATTGCTCAAATATGCACATCATATAATATCTAAACACACTGTTTGGAAAATGGATTTAAAAATATTCCAAAGAGCAAAAACGAGTCTTAAATACTGCAAGTCAAAATGCAAGTATAACAAAAAAAATTGTGAGTGTAGGAAATGGTAAAAACTATAATGAAAAACACAAAGAAAATTTTACAATAAATGTTATAAAGTATTTTTTTCTCATATATTAGAATGCACACTAAGAGGTACAAAATATATCAAATTAATATCACCACCAAAACAATAGTATCCACAAAACAGGCATTATGAAATTAATTTATATCTTCAGGTATGTGTTTTATTATATATGTCAAATACTTTTAGGAAAACGATATTCTTGAGTTCTTACATAACAGTGAAAATATACTTCTGATGGGATTCAAGTGCATAAATTTTAAGTATGTTGCCTTTCACGTTTATCATTACAGAATCTGTTTAGATCATCTGATCTTATCTGCATATACAGAACTGACAGACCATAATATAATTTAATGCTTAGTCTGTATAAAAAAATGTAATTCATTTAGTTATATGTAATGTACACACAGAAAATAATTATAAACATTATTACAAAACTAGATTCATACCTCAAAGACAAAAATAATTAGTATAACAATACTAATATATGACAGAATGTCTTTGGCCATCCTAAGCTTCGGACTGTTGGCCCCTGCTGAAGAAAAAACCAGCCCCGACACATTGGCAGAGCAGTTTAAACTTGTCTTCCACTGTGGATCTATACAGTCAAAGAAATATGTAAAGCAAATCACTTAAATTTATATATGAACAAATCATTTTAACTGTCAACTGTTAAAATCACATTTACTCAATTTTCAACTGTATAATTTGATATAATGTAACAGTTTATCCTGTTCTGTACATTCTAGAAAAATGCAAAATTTCAAAACAGTTCACTTCTTATATGTTATTATAATGACAATATACATTTCTAATACTACAAGTGGACAAGCCTGTTAAAATCCAACTACACAAGTTTAAAGAATCTCCCCTAAGATCACAAAATGGATACACAAACTTTTTAACAAAATTTTACATATATACAAAGCCTAAATCAAATTTAAAAAAACACATCACTGACATATGGTGCTAATGAAAGTGTTAAACCTATTATAAGTGTACAATACATATACCTTGGACAACTTCAAAATCAATGAGCAACTCTGAAAATATGACTAGGCCTTCAACAAACACCAATGTCACAATCACAGCACTGAAAACTTTCCCATTCACAGTAGCCCAAATCTTTTCACACAACCTATAAGTAAAGGGAGAAAAACCTAATATATTTGGATGTTATACACACAAATAGACTGAATACAGTCATGTTACAAACTAATGTCGAAACTTAAAAATGTAATACAGTAACACACATTACATTTAAGGTATGAACACGTTAAGCAATAAGGGCAAAATCAGAGAACTACTTTACTGAAGTAAATGACACTATAAAAAGTAACCTCATTTGATCTTTTATTTGGTTTAATGTGGTTGATCATTATAGGTATGATATCTGATGTGTTGGTTTAAAGTATTGTTATCACTAGAGCTGAACAATTAGTAGTATATGTTAATTGATTAATCAATGGCCTCATTAATCAGTTACATTCAATTAATCTTCAAATCATAGTATATAGAAGCAAAAGAGAGTTGGTGGCAGGTGCTACCAGACAGTTGCCTTACCTCTAGTCAGCAGTTCAAATCAAAAATAAGAAATGTTTGTAGCAGGTGTCTTTCCTCTAGTAAACAATTCAAAAAGAAAGAGGTTGGTGGCAGGCACTGCCAGACAGTTGCTATCCCCCTAAGCAGCTGTTCTAATTTAGTAACAGTGGAAAAGAGCCTTAGTAGTTTTGCTGTCACAAAGATAGGGTGAGCCATCATGACCCCCCCTCCCCAAATCAATGACATTGAAAACAAACTTCAAGTAAGAAAAAAACTTGTAAGTTAAAATTTAGCAGCGAACAAATGGTTCATTGTGTAAGTTTTTACTAAACAAACATAATAGCAATATTCTGATTATTTAGATGATTTGAATAAGCAAAAATAGTAATAATCTAAAACCCTAATTTAAAGGAGTTGATTATTTTCATGACAATTGATTTAATTGTAACTTCAATTAATCAGTCATTGGAGTAATCAAAAACAGTAGCAGTCAGAAACATTTTGATTAATTGATTAGTTCATGTGACTCTAATTGATTCAATCACTGCTCATAGGTAATAAATTATATATAGGAATTGATTAAATTGCCCAGTGATGATAATCACATACTGCTCTGTGATATTTAGTTAATTTGAGGAATTGTTGAAATTTTGACCATTTCCAGTTACAATCCTGTGCTTCAGCCATTTTTAAAGAATGATAATGTTAAAACTTAGTTTCCATTGAATTAGCATTAGAATTAATTCAATGAAGAGCTACAGTTATAAATGTACCCTTTAGAGTTTTATTTCAGTGTTTTTCCATTAAAATTAAATATTAGAACTGTAAGATTTTTTTAACTTTGCAACAATATGAATGTTTAGTGTAAATTATAGTATCTAACATTTCTCAGTCTGATATATTTAATAAAAACATATATTAATTACACTGTTCTGCAAGAATATATTCAGGACAAAAAGCTCACACTAACAATCTTTTCTTATTAACCACTCAGACTGTCTTACCAAGCTAATTTTCAAAACTCCAAACTTCATTTTTAACTCTTTAAACTTGTAATGTTTCACACGATCTGCCATTGATCTGAAACTTGTTTCAAAACAAACAATAATGCTTCACAGAACTTCCAGTATATTTATAAAAGGTGGATAATAACATGGTTTGGATATGTTTTAAGCCAAAGAGACATAAATCTTATCAGATGCTGTCACAATCCAATGGGTAAATCAGGATTTTTGGCCAAACACATGTAGTATCTGCTCGGGTTTAAGGAGTTAAGCTGTTTTTTAAACTCCATAACTCCTACAATAATGTAATTCTTATCTATATGTATACACTAAACAGTAATTAAAGATCAATTGATTTAATCTGTTATTTTTCTTTATTTCTTAATGTGTATATTACCTAAACATTATCTCTATTATTCAACTGGTTACATCATTACTATAAATAGCAATGTAGTTCTATCAGACTAGTATCACAACACTTTTTTTAAACTAGCAATGGAATATACTTCTAAAACACTAAAAACATCATCATTATAGTTCTATCACTAAAATAATTAATCCTATCTCACCATTAACAAGTACATTTTTAATGCACAGACAAAATATACTTCTATCACACTAATAACAATGTATGCTACACATATAAAACATAATACAACTTACTCTTGTTGCTCTAGTAACATAATACTTGTATAACACTAAAAACAACTAAGTTTTATCACTATAAAAATTCTTATCTCAATAATAATACAATACATTTTTACCACACTAATAAAAAAATGTCTACCTCACATCACACACTAAATAAAAGCAATTCTATATGACCTAATAAAACACAACACAGTATAAGGCTGAGATGTTATAAAAACTTATGCCATACAAGTTCATTCCTTTAGCTGAATTTCACGACAGTTGAAACAATGAGTGGTTTAGAATAAAGTTAATCCACTGGTAAGATCATACATGGACAGCATTTTCTATTAATATAATCCAGTGAATTACATTATTTGTTTAATACTTATAACACATGACAATAACCTCACCTAGTTGGTCCATCATCATCCAGTGAAGTATCACCAGTTAGACCCCACACCAGTGGGTCTGAGTTGCGCATCAGTTCTTCCTTACTATTCAGAAATATAAAGAAATTTTCCTGCACTATAAGTACATATACAGTATGTGTACGTAACAGTTCTCTATACTATATATATACCAACAAAGGTTTGAACCTCATCTTGGCAAACAACAACAATGGAAGTTTTAAGTTGCCAGATCAAGAGCTTAAAATTAGTTAGTGGTAAAACTGTTACTTTGGTCTAAAGGCCTAGGTATCAAAGAGGAAAATGCACAAATCCCACCAGTTCTGTCTGAGCACACCCGTCTAAAGAGTTAGCAGGACTAGAAATTATGACCAGAAGAGAGGAAGATTCTGTGGTTGAGGAAAGCATTAAAAGGTATCCATTATAGGATATGTAAAGTAAAAGCAAAGACATGAACATCTGATGATAATAAAGTGACTGTGCTGTAGATAAAATCTGAATGAGTTAAAATAATAAAATCTGTTTTCCATACTTCTAAAAAAAAAAAATGTAGAGCAATGTAAAACTGTCCAGCCCTGAACAGAAAAAACACAACTTTTCACACCAGGTATTATCTTAACAGTTGATACAAGAATAATGGTAGAATAGTCAAAGCAAATCAAACCACTCATTCCAGGAGGAAATACAGTACATTAGAGTGGACATTCTTTAATAGGCTATTTTAGAATGTGTTAAATGACTATGGTAGGATCCAAAATTGAAAAAAGTAAGAAAGTTAATAATATATGTAGAATCACTAAATAAGAATCACTAAAAAAGACCATTAGTCTTACCAGATTGAAACTGTTATCTTTTTTTGCAAATACTATTGTAAATGTCACATCCTAACATTTCTCATCAAAAATAAACAAAGGATAGCACACCAACCAGGATTGAATCCTGGCCACTACCAACACAGAAGTAATCCCTCTCAGGACTTCCCTAAAGCCAGCACCAGAATTGTAGGATAAAAAACTAATTAGTATTTAGTAACTAAAAAACACCTAGTAACTAATTCATAATTAGATTAAAGTAATCACACAGACTATGAACCATGACTATTACTGCTATCTGATCACCACAACTTTACTGTAGAACTCAACATATTAATACAGGTCACTAGGTTTACAAGAGTATAATATATGCTGGTTTTACTAACTGGACATAATGTGATGGTTTACTGTTACCAGCAGCATTCCTACTTTACTCCAAAAAATGTTAAATAAATTTGTAAACAGTATCTTATTTTCAACTTCATACCAAAACATGCTGTAAGAGGAAAGAAACAAAACAGGTTAATAGAATGACACTTGGTTTACAAAAATATGATCAAAAAAAGGCTTAACAATTTTGAGTTGTTTTCTCTGGCATTTGGAAAGACTAGAAGTAACTTCCTTCAAGATTAAAATTGGATTCTAATGGATTTAAGTTATATAAACAAAATCTAAAACAACTCAGAATTAACCAACATATTTCAGAACTCAAAATTACAAAGGATACTGAAAATCATATGCATAAAACAAAATGCATCACAAATCTTATTCTTCAATCCAATAATAATTCAAGATGACCTATCCTGCATCTCTTTCAGCTAACTTAGATGTATTCTTCATCAAACACTTTTTCCTTAAAGTTATAAACTTGTGGAATGGCTTGATTTGTGATGTGGTATCTGCTGCCAATGTGAATCAAATATTTTGTATATGAAGAAGAAAGGCTATACTTCACTTTGTTTTAATGTTTAGGGTTGGTTGTTTTTGTTGAAGAAGGGCCAAATCACCTTCTATCGTATTCCTCTTTACAGTATGTTTTATTAAGTCTTTCTCCCATGCAGACATTCAGTGCATATTACCTATGTCTTGTCACCTAAGCCTTTCTCATGGTCCCAGACATCAATACTAACCTCAAATTAAAACAGATGGAACACAAGAACAAGCAAGGTAATCAGCCATTGTGCCCATAAACATCATCCCCTATATTACCCTTAATATCCAAACTTCTTATTTCACTACAAACAGTTTACTAAATCCTACCAAAAATCACCTGAATCAAGTCACCTCTAGTTCAACTCTACAAAAAAACAAAACAAAGTCTTTAAGGCTCTATTTGTAATTCAGGTATTTTACTCTAATAACTTGTGTGTATGATCCTAATAGCTTGCTTTTACATTGCTTCCAGTATTTTGACATCCTTCCTATAAAATGAAAAACAGAACTGATCATTGTACTACAAAATTCAAAACTTCTCACAATTCAAACAAATCCAAAACCTAAATACTCAGTTGAAGGTTTCAAACTTTTACCATGAAGTCTTATAATGAAATCCAGCTCTTTTTACACAATGCTTGGAATCATCTCAAAGATAAAACAAGTCATTTTCACATTCCATGCTCAAATTGCATCACTTTATACTTATCAATATTAACACTAAATTTTCTACATTTTGATCCTGTCACTAAAATGGTCTGGATTTTTCTCAATGCAGAAATATTTATAATAGTTTCAATTTTTAACAGCCTCTTGATATCATCACTAAACTGATAAATACTACTTACTTTCAAAAAAATTACCCAACAGTTGGTTTAAATAAGTAAAAGTTCCAAAACAGACTTCTGAGGAACTTTATTAATTACTTTCTCTGAGTGATAATTCTATTTTGCCACAACCCTTTGCATTCTACCACTAGGTAATTTTCTATTCACTTCTTGGCTTTTCTGACTGTTAAACAATTTCATAAGAATCCACTTTAACCAGATCTATGGTGCCCAAACAAAAGACTCTCTGCAAATCAAGATTATATAACAACAATTTTAGAAAAAGATGAAAAATGGCTATAAAAACTTTAAATACAATGATCTCGCACATAAATCCCTTTCTACAACTAACTTCATATTTCTGAGTAAAGAATTTGAAAATGACATATTAAAACTAATTTTTCATTATGTTCATTATTTTATATAGATATACAAAAAGGGACTATTTACATACCTCATGCTATCTCTTACTTTGTTCTTAAATTTTACATTCATGAAATTTAAAATTGAATCTATGCATCAACAAGTCAAGAAGAATTCCCTTTCAAAAACAGTGCATTGATATACACTTTGCTAATAGGTAGTAAGTAGTTTTAGTATAAAACTTTACAAAAATGAATCAAAATTACCATGGTATAGCAATTTTCTATTACGTATTAATATTATAGGGTTCTTATAATTATCAATGGATAACAAGGGGTCAGCTGGTTCATTTGGGCTATCCCATTTTCTACTATTAACCTTCTACAAACTACATACAGAAACTCCTTCCCATATCCAGCTTTCATCTCTAAAATGCTCTTCCAATATCCTTCAATTTTTCAGCTTTTACAATACATAAAAGCAAACTATTTCACAAGCTGACCACTCTATCAAAAAAGTAGCATTGCCTTAACTGATGTCATGTTTTTTTCCATATCTTAAACTTGCAGTTTTTATGAAAATGAAATAATAAAACCTTTGACTGTGTCCCCCATCCATGGCCTCTGTCTTTCCAGCATTATCTCATCCCAAGATTTCAATCTGTTTCAATACAATAACTCCCTCCCAACCTAGAAACTTCCTTGTATCTTTTCTCTGAACCCACTCCAGCAACTCAACATCCTTTCTTAGATATGATGAACAAAACTGACAACAATGTGTAACCAGTGTGTTAACAAGTGAAATGATTGCCTTCCTTGACTTGCTCTCAGTATTTTTATGTTGTTTTTTCCTTTTTTGCCAGTGAAAGGAGAGTGGTTCCTCTTAGACTGTATAGGAGCAGTTGACCAACATAAATAGCATTTTGTCAAACACACATACGCTTTCTCAACTTCATTCCAGCTACAATATATGCATAAATACGAATGAAGTTGATGTAGAACACCTGCCAAGATCACATAGATTAATAGAGAAGAAACCTCCTAGAGTCTAAGCCATAAAGAATGATATCACATACACAAAGCAAAACCCAGCTTGCCTATACTGCTAAAAAGTAAACAGTACCATCATTTGATAGCTACAGACAAATATGGTTTTAAAAAGATTGTACTAATATGCAAAACAATACTTAAATTATATTCCCCCCCCCCAAAAAAAACAAAAAAAATTCAATCTTCTTAATAAGTTATAAAATTTTGTCATATATTTTATCCACTTCCATTTAATCAAATTTTAAGCTACTTTCAATAATTGGTAAAGCATGTTGGCATTTGGAGATAAAAGGTCAATTTGATAGGTCATATATATTACCTGATGTCAACTTTTAAATCTGATGAGGTATATTTAAATTATTCACAAACATTATAAAAAATTATCTTAAGAGTTGAGTGGAAATTATAAAGACAAAAAATTTCTATGAGTTAAAATTGTTTGTTAATTCAACCATATATCTGATCATTCATATGTTGAATTGTACTTACTTAATCTAGATACAGTAGACAACTTACTGCTTAGAAGATACACAGAGAAATTGGAAATAATTTCATTGTTTATTAATAAATAGTATTTCACATACAAAAACATTGTTATGATGGCTCTCAGAATAAATAAACAAATGAAAACGGGCTAGCCCACTGTGATAAAACAATGTAATTTGGGGTTATTAAAAGTTAATGAATTACTGCAGTGAAGCAAACATAAGGTGTACAATATCATTACATTACTACTGGTACTTGTAGTAGAAGAATAATTCTTAGAACTATGAATTTCTTAACCTAACAGTAACAGTTTAAGTTTTAATAATAACACGCCAATTAGTGAATTACTTAGTTCATATTGTATCATATTAAAATTTAAACATATTACCAATATTAATTATTATCATGGTTTTCTTTCTTACTTTAAATCTAAATGTTAACCTACTTATACCATCAGTAGTTCTAATATTAATAGTATTAGTTGTTATGCTAGACTAATATTATACAATGATCTATAATAATATTAACAATATTATGGATTACCAATGTCGAACGATGGCAATGCACTACCTACTGGAGTAGCGCCGTGTAGTTTCGGGCAAAGCAATGTTAC